CGACTCCGTGGAGCGAAAGAAACACGTTCCTCTTACGTAGCCGGGGTAATAACGCTTCCTTGACTTGATTTTGACGTATGACCTTGGCGTGACCTTGAAGTGACCTACACCCCAAAAAACAATCTGGCCCACTCCGTGGAGCGAAAAAAACACGATCCTTTGATGTAACCTGGGTTATAACGCTTCCTTGACGTGATTTTGACGTATGACCTTGGCGTGACCTTGAAATGACTTCCACCTCAAAAGCCAACCTGGACGACTCCGTGGTGCGAAAGAAACTCGTTCCTTTGACGTAACCGAGGTAATAACGCTTCCGTGACGTGATTTTGACGTATGACCTTGGTGTGACCTTGAAATGACTTCCACCCCAAAAACCAATCTGGGCGACTCCGTGGAGCGAAAGAAACACGTTCCATTAACGTAACCGGGGTAATACCGCTCCCTTGGCGTGATTTTGATGTATGACCTTGGCGTGACTTTGAAATGACCTCCACCTCAGAAGCCAACCTGGACGACTCCGTTGAGCGAAAGAAACACGTTCCTTTTATGTAACCGGGGTAATAACGCCTCCTCGACGTGATTTTGACGTATTACCTTGGCGTGACCTTGAAGTGTCCTCCACCCCAAAAACCAATCTGGGCGACTCCGTGGAGCGAAAGAAACACGTTCCATTAACGTAACCGGGGTAATACCGCTCCCTTGGCGTGATTTTGATGTATGACCTTGGCGTGACTTTGAAATGACCTCCACCTCAGAAGCCAACCTGGACGACTCCGTTGAGCGAAAGAAACACGTTCCTTTTATGTAACCGGGGTAATAATGCTTCCTTGACCTGATTTTGACGTATGACCTTGGCGTGACCTTGAAATGACTTCCACCCCAAAAACCAATCTGGGCGACTCCGTGGAGCGAAAGAAACACGTTCCTTTTATGTAACCGGGGTAATAACGCCTCCTCGACGTGATTTTGACGTATTACCTTGGCGTGACCTTGAAGTGTCCTCCACCCCAAAAACCAATGTGGGCGACTCCGTGGATCGAAAGAAACACGTTCCATTGACGTAACCGGGGTAATACCGCTTCCTTACGTGATTTTGACGTATGACCTTGGCGTGACTTAGAAATGACTTCCACCTCAAAAGCCAACCTGGACGACTCCGTTGAGCGAAAGGAACGTGTTTCTTTCGCTCGACGGAGTCGCCCAGGTTGGTTTTTGGGGTAGATGTCATTTCAAGGTCACGCCAAGTTCATATGTAAAAATCACGTCAAGGATGCGTTATTACCCCGGTTACGTCAAAGGAGCGTGTTTCTTTCGCTCCGCGGAGTCGCCCAGATTGGTTTTTGGGGTGGAGGTCATTTCAATTTAGCTTCAAATTCATGCGAAATGAACAATTTAGCTTCAAATTCATGCGAAATACCCGGTTTTGCTTGAAATCCACGCGAAACAATCAAATTAGTGTGGGGACGTGGTTCCCCCACTCTGACCGCCTGCTCATGGCGCAGGCGCGGCGGCTCTCTGCCGCCGTCACGAGGAGCAGACTTGCCTCTTCGTGGCGCTCCGTCCCTGAACCTCGAAGTGTGCATACGTTTAGTAGGGAACCTGGAGTATTTAATTTCTCACTGAACCCTACATTGGTGTCCCCGACGTTCGATTAAGAACGCGTTTTTCGGTGTGCATCAACGTTGACGAGGTAGAAGCCTACTGCCGCCGGCCAATGGTGCAACTGGAAGGGACTGTGTGAAGCCATCGTCACCGGCGCCTTTTCATCGATTTCCAGCCGGAAAACCACCTGTGGCTTCGACCACGTGGAAGACGACGCTGGCTCCAGAGGTTCCTGGCACAATTCCTGGACGGCCTGCTCCCTGCTGAGGTAAAGCGCGAAGCCATCGTTACCGGCGCCTCTCGACCCCTGTCCGCCCGTAATCATACCATTCGGAGACCGCAGAATTCCCTGGGGTCCGGAAGATCGGGTGATACGCAGTTGCGGACGGAATCTACGCCACCGGTGCATATCCGGAAACGTACGTGTCGAATATAATGCCTTGATTCAGCACTTTTTCGCGGTATGGCGGCCATCTTGCCGTGATTCAGCACTTTTGCTCTGAGCGTCGGCCATCTTGGTGTGTGCGTGCGATAGGGACAGCATGGCAGCCGACGAGAGCACGGACGCCGCGGCATCGGACAAAATTGAGAGCTACCGCTCTCCCAAAATGCCCACGTTCTATCGTGAGGACCCGGCCACTGTGAGAGACTTAATTATGAAGGTGCCGCGCCCACCTAATATATATACCGATATTTTGTGAAATATCTGGTGAAACCGATCCGCCCATACATTCCCGCGAAGTTACGAAAGACAGTCCTTGATACTGTACATACTCTGACTCATGCGAGTGCCAGGGTTTCCGACAGATTAATTAGACAGCGGTACATTTGGCTCAACATTCACCGGGATGTTGCTCGGTGGTGCAAGCAGTGCATTAAATGTTAGCGAGCTAAAGTCTCATGGCATACTAGCCACTTGCCCGAGCACTTTGTTGCCCAGGATGGTCGATTCGACCACGTCCATTTGGACATTGTTGGCCCACTGCCCGTGTCGGACGTGTACAGTTATTGTTTAACGGTCATTGACCGATTCCCCCGTTGGGTACAGGCTGCTCCTTTGCGGGACACTTCGGCGAAGTCGGTGGCAAGAGCGTTCTTCGAAACGTGGGTGTCGCGCTACGGGGCTCCCATGGTCATTATTATGGACCAAGGAGCCCAGTTCGAGTCGCGATTGTTCTCAGCCCTGCTGTCGCTAATCGGGTGTGTGGGAGATCCTGGTCCGGCGATCAGGACTTACTCACGTAAGGTGAGATTCGCGCCGAATACCAAAGTGTAAATTTCTATGTATATAGTAGTTCATAAGTTGATTATAAGCGTTCGGGACACTGTCCCGGTAGGATCAGTACGCCGTAAAATGTAAAAATTTTTATATTTTTGTTAATAAAATGAGTACGTGTTCACACTCGGGGGGGGGGGGAGTCTGTGGGGACGTGGTTCCACCACTCCGACCGCCTGCGCATGGCGCAGGCGCGGCGGCTCTCTGCCGCCATCACGAGGAGCAGACTTGCCTCCTCGTGGCGCTCCGTCTCTGAACCTCGGAGTGTGCACACGTCTAGTAGGAAACCTGGAGTATTTAAGAACACACAGAACCCTACATTGGCATCAATATCATACGAAATTCACGATTTCGCTTCAAATTCGTACGAAATACACGATTTCAAATTCATACGAAATGCACGATTCTGCTTCGATTCCATGCGAAACAAACAATTTAGCTTCACATTCATGCGAAATACACGATTTAGCTTGAAATCCACGCGAAAAAATCGATTTAGCATCAATATCGCACGAAATTCACGATTTCGCTTCTAATTCGATTCCATGCGAAACAAACAATTTAGCTCCAAATTCATGCGAAATGAACAGTTTAGATTCAAAGTCATGCGAAATGAACAATTTAGCTTCAAATTCATGCGAAATACACGATTTTGCTTGAAATTCACGAGAAACAATCGATTTAGCATCAATATCACACGAAATTCACGATTTCGCTTCAAATTCGTGCGAAATACACGTTTTCAAATTCATGCGAAATGCACGATTCTGCTTCTATTCCATGCGAAACAAACAATTTAGCTTTAAATTCAGGCGACATGAACAGTTTAGCTTCAAATTCATGCGAAATATACGATTTTGCTTTAAAATCCACGCCAAACAATCGATTTAGTGTTACGTCCCGCGGTGGACGTTCCGAAAAAATATGATTTTTCCACTGACCGCGGAAGCAAGACGTATTTCGAACTACCTTTTTGTACACGCGACGCGTACCGTTCGCGTATTTCAGGGCCTCACGACCCGTCAACTCGGCTCTATAAGGGATGCTTACACAGTACTTACCTTGTTGCCTCCGCTCGGGTCCCGGGTCGGTGTTCGGGCCTGATTTGGTGTAGAGGAGTTATTGGCTGGCCGCGGGCGTCATCGAGATTTTCCTCGGCGTTGGCGGTTGATGACTCGATCAGGGTTTCGGTGAAGCGATCTCCGGATGGAGGACGTCTTCGACCCGGAGCGCGATATTCTTGAACGAATCTTATTTCTTCAGTATAAACAACCTCGCGCGTTCCGGATCCACCCGCGGTATGTGGCTAACTATTTCCACAGTACGCGACCGATAGGTTATTTTAGGTTCGCACGGGACTCGAGAGAACTCACGAAGAAGCTTCTTTAGATAAGCCCTGCGTCCAGATTGATGCGGCATATATGCGCAATAGAATAATCTAGTATAACGCGAGTCCTATTTCTTTCCGGTGGTGTGCAGGACTCGTAGTGAAAGCCCGGTACACACGCTTTCAGGAAAGACCAAGTTAAATTCGCAACTTCGGCGGCGTGTAGGATTTATGGTGAAAGCCCAGTACACACGCTTTCTGAAGGTGCTATGCTAACGTTCGAAATAATAATAAGTGAAGCTAAAGTAATCCTAATGTTAGTAGTGGACGTTGGAATAATAAATTGAGTTGAGTTGTAACTAAATCGAATATATTTTATGATAATATAAGGTACAAAATACCCGTTCTTACTTACTACGAATTACAATTCCTGACGTTAAAATCGAAGTGAGCTTGATTTGAGATTGAATCGAAAAAGTCTCCCCGGTTGGGAGCTGAGAAATTGAGTCGTAGAGGTTGGATGAAGAACTGTCCTGCTCGGTTCTGCATGGATCCTTCTCGGCTGCCATCCTGCTGCCATCGTGGCGGGGTTGGTCATCGTGGAGGGAGGTCTCCATGGCAACGGAGCGCTCGGAGCGGGGATGCTACGTTCAGCGAACCGGCGTAACACTAGACCGCGCGCATTTGTGGGTATTTAGAATATTACTTACTTGCGTGTTATGTTATAAATGTTACCTAGATATTAACGCTACGAGTTATGTTATAAATGTTACTTTAAATATTAACGCTACGAGTTATGTTATAAATGTTACTCAAATATTAACGCTACGAGTTATGTTATAAATGTTACTTAAATATTAACGCTGCGAGTTATGTTATAAATGTTACTTAAGTATTACCGGTCATACATTTAATCGAAGGAGGTGCGGCTTAGTATTATCGGTATAGTAGAGTTCGGTGGGTTCCGTAAGGTTGGTAAAGAAGTGTAGTTAACGTAGAGTTCTGTAGTGTCATATGCAGGTGGGTATGTAACTGAGGTGTGTATCTATACTTACGATGATAAGGTGAATAAATATTTACTTATTTTATAATTATTCGAGTAATTATATGATGATTGTCCTTAATCAAACGTCGGGAGACGTAACATTAGCATCAATATCACACGAAATTCACGATTTCGCTTCAAATTCGTGCGAAATACACGATTTCAAATTCATACGAAATGCACGATTTTGCCCCGATTGCATGCGAAACAAACAATTTAGCTTCAAATTTATGCGAAATACACGATTTAGCTTAAAATCCAAACGAAACACATCATTTAGCTTTAAATTCATGCGATGTAGAAGGTTTAGCTTGAAATCCGTGCGAAACAAATGATTTACCTTCAAATACTTGCGATATAAGTGATATAGCTTCAAATCCAAGCGAAACTCATGATTTAGCTTTAAATACTAGCGATATAAATGAAATAGCTTCAAATGCAGACGAAAGAAACGAGTTAGCTTCAAATACATGCAAAATACATGACTAAGCTTCAAGTCCATGGGAAACACATGATTTAGGTACAAATTCATGGGAAACACATGGTTTGGCATCAAATTCATGCGGAGTACGTGATTTAGATTCAAATTCATGCGATACAAATTATTTAGCTTCAAAAACTTGCGAACATAAGTGACATGGCTACAAATGCTGTCGAAACAAACGAGTTAGCTTCAAATCCAAACAAAACACATGATTTAGCTTTAAATTCATGCGATGTAGAAGGTTTAGCTTCAAATACGTCCGAAACAAATGATTTAGCTTCAAATACTTGCGATATAAGTGATATAGCTTCAACTGCAAGGCGAAACAAATGATTTAGCTTCAAATCCATGCGAAACACGTGGTTTAACTTCAAATTCATGCGGAACAAATGGTTTAGCTTCAAATACTTGTGATGTAAGTGATATAGCCTCAACAGCATGCGAAACAAATGAGTTAGCATCAAATCCATGCAAAACACATGATTATGCTTCAAATGAATGGGAAACACATGTTTTAGGTTCAAATTCATGGGGAACACATGGGTTAGCTTCAAATTCATGCGAAGCACGTGATTTAGCTTCAAATTTATGCGAAACAAATGATTTAGCTCCAAATACTAGAGATATAAAAATGATGTAGTTTCAAATGCGGACAAAGCAAACGAGTTATCTTCCAATCTATGCGAAACACATGATCATTTGTTTCACATGAACACTAAATCATGTGTTGCGTTTGGATTTGAAGCTAACTCGTTTGTTTCGTCCGAATTTGAAGCGATCACGTGTGTGTCGGATGAATTCTAATCTACATCGTATGTTCTGGCCGAATTCAAACGCAAATCATGTGTTTCTGCTGAATTTGAAGCTATATTATGTGTTTCGGCTGTTTGCAGCTGGCTCTACTTGTACCCCACTCCCTCTGCACCTAGGCCTCTATCTTTACCTCTACCCCTTTACCTCTACCTCTAAACCTCATCAACTACCACCACCCCTCTAGCGCTAGCTCTACACGTCTACCAATATCACTATTTCTACACCTATATATGTCTACCCCTCTACCTCTAGCACTACCCCTCTACTTCTATCTCCACTCCTATACCTCTTCCTCTACCTCTACCTCTAGCACTACCCCTCTACTTCTATCTCCACTCCTACACCTCTTCCTCTACCTATACCTCTACCTCTAAGTCTACTTGTCTGCCTCTACCTCGATATCTCTTCCGTTACCTCTACCTCTAACACTACCACTACCTCTACCACTACCTTTACCCCTCTGCCTCTACCTCTACCACTACCTTTACCCCTCTGCCTCTACCTCTACCTCTACCTCTGCCTCTACATCAACCTCTACCTCAACCCCACTACCTCTACATCTACACCTATACCTCTACTCTACTCCACTACCTATACCTCTACCCCTGTACCTCCACCTCTACCTCTGCCGTTCTACCTATACCTCCAGGCCACTGGCTCTACCTCTACCCCTTTACTCCTCTACCTCAACCTCTACCCCTCTACCTCCGCCACTCTATCTCTCCCTCTACTCCTCTACCTCAACCTATACCCCTCTATCTATACCTCTACAACTCTACCTCTACCTTTACCTCAACCCCCACCTATTTATACCTATATCACTACCGTTCAACATCTACCTCTACCACTACCTCTATCCCTCTGCCCTTCTACCTTTATCTCTATCCGTCTACCTTTATCTCTACCCCACTGCCTCTACCTCAGCCCCTCTACCTCTACGTCTACTCTTCTACCTCTATCTCTACGACTACCTCTATCTCCCCCTTTACTTCTACCTCTACACCTCTGCCACTACCTCTACCTCTACCCCTCCACATCCACCACTACCCCTCTTCCTCTACCTCTACCATCCTACCTCTACCATCCTACCTCTACCATCCTACCTCTACCATCCTACCTCTACCATCCTACCTCTACCATCCTACCTCTACCATCCTACCTCTACCATCCTACCTCTACCATCCTACCTCTACCATCCTACCTCTACCATCCTACCTCTACCATCCTACCTCTACCATCCTACCTCTACCATCCTACCTCTACCATCCTACCTCTACCATCCTACCTCTACCATCCTACCTCTACCATCCTACCTCTACCATCCTACCTCTACCATCCTACCTCTACCATCCTACCTCTACCATCCTACCTCTACCATCCTACCTCTACCATCCTACCTCTACCATCCTACCTCTACCATCCTACCTCTACCATCCTACCTCTACCATCCTACCTCTACCATCCTACCTCTACCATCCTACCTCTACCTCTACCTCTACCTCTAGCCATCTACCTATAGCTCTACCCCACTACTCCTACCACTACCGTTACCCCACTACCACTTCCTCTACCTCTACCTTTAACCCTCTACCATTTAGCTACGAATCCATCCGAAATACATGATTTACCTTCAAATTCGGGCAAAACACGTGATTTAGCTTCAAATTTATACGAAATGCAGGAATTACCTTAAAATTCAGGCGAAACACATCTCTCCCTCCCTCCTACTCCTCCACCCCCACTCACCCTCCCTCTTCTCTCTCTCTCTCTCTCTCACCCCTCCGTCACGAGACAATAATATGTCCTAGGTATACAACTTCTTGTCGTCGAAACTCACATTTGTCTGGTTGTAGAGACAGGTTGGCTTCCCTTAGAGTACCTTGAAATCCAGACAGAACGCTATTCATTAACGTTTGGAAGATGGCGGGAGCGTTCTTTAAGGCTGGGGCTCGTCGCATACTATGACAATCCACACATAGAAGAAAGTTTGCAGAGGTTTACATCCACTAGAACTGACGCTTTAATATCGAAGTGTGCAGTTTAGAAGTGGAAAATTTAGATTTCTAAAAAACTTCGGTTGTAGAGATGTCCGCTTTGTGATTATTGTGGAGATATTTGCAATATTTTATGTTTAGAGTTCGAATAGAAAATTCACAACCGAAGCAACGGAGTTAATATATGTACAAAGACAGTGGAGTGTATTTTCAGTTGATTATTGAATATTCCTTAGCAGTTGTCTCCAAGATATTCTGTCACGCGCTAGGTTTCTGGATCCGGGTAAGGTGACATGCGGGGCAGTCCCCGTACTCGTAAGCGACACTTGCTTTGAAATCCTATATTATTTATGTATGTATTTGTCTTTCGTATATCAAGTATGCGACCACTACAGGATCTAACCTTTTGCGAACGCTACTCGACAAGAGAGGGTCGCTATGGACGAGAAGTATTGGTGCGCGTCTTTATTTGTAACAATCTTCGATTCATTATCGGGGCTTTCATAATTGTTGTTAATATTTAGTTCACGATCGCTGTCACTATCACTGATAATATTGAAACGTTTGATGTGATTCCTTGTTACGACGATTTCGCTTCCACTGTCTGCAGTCAAGTTCTGTCAGTTCTTCGAACTTGTCAAATTCAAGATAATATTCGTCATCACTGGTACTATCACAATGGAGCATTTCCTCTCCGAATCTTTTCAGCATCGTGTATAGAATGTTGTAAAGTATAAAATATATAAAAGACTTACTGGTTCGTCTGGTAGTGCTACTGAGAGACTGAAATTCGTTCTGATTCGGCTATCGTCCCACATCGCGAATTTACATTCAGCGGAAGATAAGACTTTACCGCGAAAGATCTCTAATCACCATGCAAAAGCTACTGCTATACCCAAGCGTATCTTATCAGTCAGGAAGATAGACGTACGCAAGACGCTTTATAATACATGACCGCAACTTGTGCAGCTACTTGCCAACACTCGCCCGCTATATTCACTATCATTTTTGAATGGAAACCACAAGAAAGTGGTAAATATCTTCTATTAAGAGTGGATGGAATTTGATGGATCTATCTTTAGTCATAATTAAAGAAAACGATAAATTCTGAAAAAAGTAACGGTTTTTCGGAGAAACTGGTTGATATTGTTTGACGAACAGAATTTTCTGATTCTCATCGACTTTCAATTCATAGTGTTAACACATTTTTCAAAAAGTATGACTGTATTGTTCAAGACGTCCCATTTTAAAAAATAATGTTTTACATCTGCTGTATCATTAATTTCAAGACGTAAGCATAATTTATTAAGATATAGTTATACGAATACAATAAGCATTAATTTAACTTTTATTTTATATAATTAACGGCACATGTGTGTTATTTTGTTGCAAATTTATAAATCAGACAATCATTTCGATACGGAGGGTGTATAAACCACAAAAATAAAAATTTTATTCAGAATGATTTGACGTTTCACTGGTATCCTAAATTATTTAAGTTAATATTAATATGAAAAGTGTATATTAATATTTTCCATAAAAATCAATATAATCTTACAAAAATTATATCGTGTTTGGTCTTATTTTAATCAGAAAAAGCTCAAGATTGCATTACAAGAGAAGGCCCATTATGAAATAATAAAAAATAAAGAAATAGCGTTAAATAAAAATAAATTGCGTTATTTTCTATCCTTCATTTGCTGTCCTTTCCTACGTTTAGTGCCGGACGACGGTTGGAGACAAAGTTGAGTCTTCCGGTTATCAGGCGTCTCAGGTCACCGATTGAGACAATATACAGTGGCCCATAGAAGTGTTCGTCGATCCGGATGAACATCATCTGCACATGCGGTACAAGTAACCCGTCAAGAAATGAGAGAACTAAAAGTTCGCGAGAAGGGTGGATTAGTAGAATAGGATGTGATACAGCGATAATATAAAGTAAGCAAATAATATAAATATGTGAATGTATTTTAATGACGATGACGATGACGATGACGATGACGATGACGATGACGATGGCGATGGCGATGGCGATGGCGATGGTAATAATGATAATAATGATTTTTTTAGGGGGAGGAAGGGAAGCGAAAAAATCTTCAATATGATACCCAGAGCGGGCCACGTTCTATATAACCACGTTCCGGGTTATGTGGGTTTCTTACCCACTAAAAAACCGCTCCCCTCCTCTCGCAAGTAGAACTCCCCCCCCCCCCCCCCCCCCCCTTTCCC